CATACCCCGGGTTAGTCCTGACCATACGGGTCGCTATACTTGCCAACTGTCAACAAATCCACCTAGGTCCATAGCCTATGATGTTGTGGTGGCACGTACTGAATCCCCGGCGCCTGATCTAAATGATTCTGAGATTATTGATGATAAAGTTACTAAATTTTTAATATCATTACTAACAACCCGTTTTTCTCGCACCATGGCCATATTCATTTGCGGCTCACATCGTCCGAGTGATAATGTGATCCTTGATTTTTTGTGTTATATTATTTAGCTTGTTAATTTAGCAAATATATTATTGATTAGTTATTGTTTCACTATAATTAATATTCCATTTTATAAGATTAAAATCTCTATACTTAAAAATTATATTAAGATCATAATTGTTTATATAATAAACACTATATTGAGATTATAAATTAGTGACGTTTTTTATTATATAATACAAATTTAGATTTTGTATTTAGAAATATAAACATTAGAAGTTTATAATAATTAGAATAATATATTTTTCAAACAATTATATACTGTAAACCTACATCATTTAATTAACTAAATAATATTTTTATATTATTGTAAATTATTGTAAAATAAGTTATTTAGCAATGAGTTAAATGTAAAGTTTTAATTCAAGGTCAAAATAATCAATATTTAGTTGACATTGTCCGAGTAAACAAAATTCTTGTTCAAAATTTACATTATATAATGTGTAGTACTGTATTATATAGTAGTATGCTACTGTACTACATAGTACAGTGCTACTTTTGAAATAATGCAAATAATTCGTCTAAATTTTGAACAAGAATTGCGTATATTCTGTACGCATAATACAACAGTAACTTCGTATAACATAAACATTATTAATTGACAATGTTTTTCATGGTGGTTACCTTATTGTTACCCGTTGCACTCAATGCGGAGAGACCAGGCCAACCGCATGAGACGGTTGAAGGTGAAAATTATCGCAATATAATGGCTGTCAAGGGTCAGGACCTGACACTAGATTGCAATATGCGTGGACTTGATAAATATGAACGAAAGTGGATTAGATACAACCGTAAACTTACCGGTGTGTATCTGTTATACAAACGGATCTTTACGGGTTGTCCCCTCAGAATGGATGTTTCATTGAGAGGTTTTGAGCTAACCCTAACCGAGATTAAACCCGTGTCGTCCGGCCTGTTTGTATGCATGCTCGTTAAATATCCTGACATTAGATATTGGTATAATGTGACCGTCGTGTCCACCCATGTCAGCGAAAAAGTTATTAGAACGACGGATACAAGTGCTCAATTATTAATTGAGTATAGCTCACTGGCTGTGACCAGAGCACCTAATTGGGTTTTGTATAAACTTTATATTTTATTTGTTGTTTATAAGCTTAACTAACCATGTTATAAATCTATTATTATTTTCTTGTTTAAAGTAATCGTTGTAATCATAAAGAGTAGTATGTTTATATTAATTAATTATACTTTAACTTCATTAACTAAACCTTTCACCACTTTGTATCTTAACTTTCCAAACTCTACATTGTAGTTACAGTTAATTTGGAAATAAATAACTTATTAAAATAATTCATATATTATATACGGTATACTTTCTAAAATTATTAATTTTACAACTCTTAAATGATTGAATTAAAAATTAATCAATAAATAGTTTGTAATTATAATTAATTAATTGACATTTATTAAAACTTTAATATTTATAAATAACAAAATATGTTTATAAATCAAAATAAGATAAAAATATAAATTATAAATATTAAGTGTAAAAGGTTCACATTTAAAAGTATAAATTATAAGTATAAAAAGGGAAATCTGGTTTATAACTTAATCAATAAATGTTATATAACTAATGCCAAATAAATTTGCTGTCAATAAAATATCCATATTACTTTAAAAACATCTAGAGTAATTTTGCAAAACACATAAATAATGTTTGTAATGGAAGTAATAATTTATTTATTAGTCACCATTAGTGTAACAATAGCTGCGCCGGTATTCACAGACTACGGCCATCCCCTGTATGTCATGGAAGGCCAGCGCCTGGAGCTCGAGTGCAACAACAAAGAAGTGGGTGAATTGATGAGAACGTGGACACTGTTTGATACGGTACTGTTTGTGGATGACACGCGTATTTTTACCGACACCAATCTCAATGTTGACAATCGCACCGGGGCGCTAATTATAAACACGCTAACTCCCCAGGATATTGGGCACTATACATGCCGGATTACGCCAACCACCACTCGAAATGAACCCACCGAGATTGTTTACAATGTGGTGGTTATAAGCAAGATACGT